AGCAGAACAGGAAGTGGGTGATCTTCTTGATGGTTATTTCCCAGCAGAGAAACACTATAATGGAATTAATAATAATATTATTATTAGGAAGGCCCGCCCTTTAAACGCTGATGTCTCAGTTCTTCCGGTTAGGCTCTAGCAGCAATGTATATGTTGACTTTATATTAGAGATCATATTTCAGAAAAAAGTCAGCATTTTGAGTTTATCAGAAAAAAGTCAGAATTTCAGAAAAAATACGAATTTTAAGTATTTTCTGAAAAAGTCGGAATTTGTAGTAAAGAAGCAAAACAATTGAGATTATGAGAAAATAGTAAACATTTTTGACATTTTGTGCAAAATGTCAGAATTTTGAGCAAAAATTACAGACATTTGGGGAATTTAAAAAAAACGTCACGATTTTGAGTAAAAGGTCAACATTTTGGAGATTTTGAGAAAAATTTAAGAATTTTCAGAAAATTCAGAAAAAAGTAAGAATTTTTTAATATTAAGAATAAAGTCCAAATGTTGAGATGAGAGTAATTACAAAAACGTTGTTGACGATATAGTTATCACATTTTGTTTATCTAAATGGACAGTTTCTCATTTAAACGCTTAAGAACTGCTCTTTGGCAAGCAAAGGTTGACAAAGCTACACGCTATGCAAGTGATAGCCATAACGCTTTAACAGGAAGTACCAACACATTATACGGTGAATTAGATATATTTTTGTTTACCCCCGTCTTTAGGCTGGACCGGCTGCTGTGTCTGGACGGCGGCGGGATCAAAGGTCTGGTTCTGATCCAGATGCTGATCGCTCTGGAGAGGGAGGCCGGCCGGCCCACCAGAGAGCTCTTCGACTGGGTGGCAGGAACCAGCACCGGGGGCATCATGGCCCTCGCCATCGTCCACGGTCAGAACCACAACACAACAAACCGTACTAGAGTCAGAACCAGAACCAGGATACAAACCTGTGTGTGTGTGTGTGTGTGTGTGTGTGTGTGTGTGTGTGTGTGTGTGTGTGTGTGTGTGTGTGTGTGTGTGTGTGTGTGTGTGTGTGTGTAGGTAAGTCGATGGAGTACCTGCAGTGCCTGTACTTCAGGATGAAGGAGCAGGTGTTTCGGGGCTCCCGGCCGTACGAGTCTGCTCCGCTGGAGGACTTCCTGAAGAAGGAGTTCGGAGAAAACACCAAGATGGCAGACGTGCGATATCCCAGGTATTATTTTAAAGGTCACCTTTTATGCAAAATCCACGTCTTCATGTCTCTTCTACATCAACATGTGTCCTCTCTTCTTCATGTCTCTTCTACATCAACATGTGTCCCCTCTTCTTCATGTCTCTTCTACATCAACATGTGTCCCGTC